AAAAATAGTGTCCTGTACAAACAGCAGGAGTGGAGGTGGGCTCCAGGGACCTCATTACTGCCTTCAAAAGAGGTAAAATAATGTCTGCTAAGCTGTAATTGCTGTGTGTTGCAGCACTTTCTTCTCTCTCCTCTGGGCTGGTTACACCTCTTCATTCAGCGGTTTGCTCAAGGCAGCTCTGCTGAGCTGCGGGCTCCTGTTCACAGAGAGCCACCACCCAAACCAGCCGCTAATGCTCTTAGCGTTCACAGTCATGAAAAACATTTATGTTGTGACATCTCTTGCACAGACGTCACCGGATTGATCACCTTTCCTCTGAGCTTCTGCCATTTTCATTGCCCCATCTATTATTCTTCCAAGGCAGCTCGGTGCACCGGCTGATCCGCACAGGTCTAACCCTGACTGGGGATCATCTCCCTGCTGCCAGGCTTGGTCGCTCCACTGTGCTGTTGCTAACAGAGCGCTTCCTCCTTGCTCCCTTGTCTACCAGGAGCAATGAGAAGATGGCTGTAATTGTTACACACATGGCAGGCAGAAAATAGATGCTAATCTAGACCTTAATTAATTTTGTTTGTGCTTAAGCATAACTGGCATACACAGAAAAGTTGCAATGGCTTTTCAGTTAGGAAAATGGATGTCCTTTAACCATTCTACAGAAAAAAAAAAAATCCTTTTCTACCAAAGGTTAATTAATATACAAGTGTGATCAGCGGCAGCTCTAACACTTTTGAGTTGGTGGCGGTCACCAGAAAATTTTGTATTGGACCGATGTGTATGTACATGTGCACACATATAATGCAGCAGAGACTTCAGATAATATTCATAAGATTAGAATATTTAGTTAATGTAAGTTGGAAAACAGAAAACGTGGCTGTTGCCTTGTAAAGAACCTTTTAACTTTCTTGTATGCATTTTTTTCACTCAGACCAATTTGGCACACCCATGCTCTACTTTGCAGGCACCTGAACACATGAGAATTCCGCAGTGCATTTAGGGGTTCGTAGAGAAAAAAACACTTCTTACATGTATGAAATTTTTACATGCTATAAGCTGGTAAGTGTTGCCTCTAACATGACACACCACCTCCTTTTTCTTTGCCACCCTCTCCCTTGCATATGTCTGCCGTTGCACGTCGCTGCCAAGACAAGGAGGACAAAGATTTTAGCAAAATTCGTAAAACTCTGTGGGGATGGGCCCGACTATCCCCAACACGCAAGGCATCCTTACAGCGTGCCCGACCGCCCATATGCCCAGCTGCATACCAGACTGCAGCCGCTCCCGGGAGTTGCTGGAGTTCAGTTGTAAAGCTGGGGCGGCAGAGCTGCTAGCATTTTTAGTTTCCTAGAATATTTTTCAGGCTGTTTCAAGCCATCTGTAAGCCAAAGTCACTGTGTTTTATAGCAGTCACACTCCCCAGCAGGTGAGGATATAAATAAACATGGTTGACAAACAACGTTATTCCTCTTACCAAACTTACTGTGATTGTTCCAGAGGCTAATGAGCATGCTACCATCAACAGACCCTACACACAACACTGACCTTTCATTTTGTAGTTGTGGAGACTATGCTTAGGGATTACTTAGGTCTTTGGAAGGGAGTTGTATAGACTTTATTGGTCATGCTTTCTCAAAGATGTTATTTGCATATCCTCTTCCAAAAAGTCTCTCATTGTCTGCATAAACATTTATTTAATTTTGCTAAGCAGTTAATAATAACTAATATATATATGCTAGTGTAATAATTCATAAGGAAGGAATAGATTTGCCCTTGCCTATACAAACACTGTTTTCCCATGTTGTACACAAGCCCCAAGATAAATATTATTGCTAGGGTTTCTTGTACAGTTTGTGCCCATCCCCTCTCTGTAACAAAAGATCGCATTTATTCAGTCTCAAAGCATTTAATAAATCTTCAGTCTGCCCTTCATATCCTTTATCACAACTGACATTACATTAAAAGAGAGGGAACAGGGTATCACAACTTTGTGTAGAACTTTAGGTTTAAAAAATGTGCTCTTTCATGGAAGGAAGTTAATGAATTAGGCAAATAGAAGCATCAAAACATTTCCCTTGTCAAAAATTGATGCAGTGACTAATACAACTTTATTAAGTTCTACTGGTTTGTTTCTTTTACAGGAAACTTGCTTTTTAACTTTACTGAATGCTTTCAAAGTACTAAAATAGAGAACACTTAGTATTTTGTTGTTTAATGCCGTATTATTTGTTAATAGTGATCATTTTTTTGCCAGAAGTTCAAAATTGCTCTAGATGTAAGAAGAAACATCACATGCATATGTGGAGAGTTGACACTATCATAGTGGCTTTTTTTTCTTTTTTAATTTCAGCACATTAGTGTCCTCTAACTATAAAAAACTATAAAACACAATAAAGCTGCACTCTTGTCCCCTTTGTCCTTTTCCATTTCTCCATAAATACACACTTCTACGCAGCTGGACTTTTGCACAAGTGCAGTGTTTAGTAAACAAAACAGAACAACCACCACCCCACCCCCCCCCAATATTAAGGTCAATAAAACTTCTTAGAAAAGGAAAGTAGGGAAAAATCTATTATCGACCACCATTTTGAGAGCTGAGTGGCATCATGCTTGTACCGCAGTAACTGAGTTTAGAAACAGGTACAGTACGATCTCTTCAATTGTGAATTTAGTTAAGCTGTCTTCTATTTTTGAATTAATTTCTGTAAACTCTGCAATTTTCTGATCCCTTGGGCTAGTTTCAGTCAAATTTGGCAAGAGAGCAGGCCATATTAAAGGCAAAAAGCTTGTGCAAGTATTTAACATGAAAAGCTCCATTAGGCAAAAAAAAAAATGAAAAGGCTCTGTCTTCTTCTACTGTGGGAAAAGCAGGGAGAACACGATTTTCAAAGAAACTGACTGGGACGAGGACCAGGCCAGACCTCAGGTACATACCAGCCACTCAAGTCAGCACCTGCATAGCTCCAGCCCAGCCACAGCACATGACATCTCTTTCCATCCCACAGGCCAAAAATAAGGTATGACATGGGGATGGGGAGGGTAGGAAGAAGAGGAGGATAGGAAACAATAGCATTATTATCTTTGGGGAGAAGAAAGGAACAGCAAGGATACCATATTGTAGACATTTAAGTATAGGATATGGAGATAGTGAAGAAATGGGGAAGACGATAATACTAGGCAAAAGGCAAGCTTACTGAAAACTAGACTTTGTTTAACAGCTTACAGAATTGTATGAAATTCATCACACCTCCGCAGACCACCTGTATACCTGGGGAGAAAGGGGGTGGCATCTACCAGCAGAGGTAGAGACTGCCCTACAGAAGTTGAGACTGAAAAAGCATCTGAAAAGGCTGCAAAGCACTCCAGTAAACTCCCTGCTGCAGGATTTTTTCTGATTAGCAGGAGCAGCAACTTGACAGCAAATCGATGCTCATGTCTCCGCTTCCCAAAACGTACTGTAGACACAAAAGAAATTTAGTAGAGCTGTGGGCTGCAGCAACTCAGCACACCCCCCTGAGTTCATTCCATCAGATGTTGGAAGACCCAAGGGAATGGTCACTGCCTACATTTCAACATCCAACACAGTAACACACACGTCAGCTACCATGACGCTCAAAGGCAGGAGGTACACTGGTGACCCGCGACAGCAGGGGTACATTCAACGCAGTCCAGTAACCTCCCTGTTGTATTTAGCAGACGCACACAAGCTCTCTAATAGGGTATGTTTCACATATAATTTTATGAACACAGTATCTGCTCAGTAGTTTATCCTACTTTTCCTGTTTTAGGGAAGGGGGTCAAAACAACCACCACATTAGTAATTAGATTTGTCATTCAGTTCCTTATCTTATATCTCATTATTTCTCTAGCAACTGCAGTTACAGCATTTCCTTTATAAATCAGATATGCTAGGTGGACTACACGTTTACTTGCTAGCCAATATATATTACATGGATTACTGACTGTCAAAGCAAGCTCCTTTATCCAAAGCTCTGGGAGGCAGAAGATAGCCTAAGCTTGGTCAGCCTCCATGATAGCAAGCAGTAACAAAAGCAGAAACAGATTCTAGCTGTGCAACTTCACTATGCAAATCATGGGAATGGTGCAATAGCTCTTCCCCAGCTCCACTGTCAGATGCCAAGGCTACCCACCCCCAACCCCACACCAGAGATGTTACAGATTAGAGGCTTGTTTTATTATAAATACTTACATAGCATGTGAAAGAGCAGCCTATGCATTCCTGAAATTACTACATTCGCATGTTTATTTTTATACAAACAATCCATATTTTATTTTACTCCTGTTGCACGTCAAGAGTGGAAAATAAGATAAAGCATACTTTTCACAGCTTTAAGAAAAAATATCATGCCACTGAGATATTAGATGACTAATACAAACTTTGTTAATTGGAGTTCTACAATATTTTCACCTATGCCAAGGTTTCTTGCTTTAAGAAATATTAGACTGCTGAATTTGTAAGCACGCTAACTTAGCAGATCATAATTATTTCAACATGGAAGAATTAGAAGCCTGTTTCAAAGTTTTATTAATTCAAGTAATAAAAAAGTTACAGCAACTTCAAATATGTACAACAGCCATAAAAACATCATGTTCAGTTACATAGGAGACAGTCTCATTACAACATGGCTACAAAAATCATTTTCAATAAAACTCCCACAGGGTAAAATAACCCCTTAAGCATGTATGCTCCAAAACCCTAGTAACAGCAGTTGTCAACTCATTTCATCATTACAAAAAAAAAAATAAAATCAGGGAGCAATAGTTAAGTTTGACTTGAGTAAGATGGGGCATTTAAGATTTAACTCTCAACAAATAGTAAAAGTAGTAGCATGGTTACCAGTCTTGGCTGTTAAGAGTTTTAGCAATCATTTAAGTGAGCACAACTGCCTCCCCTTCAGGAGAAATCTTTTACAAGGCAAGATCCATGCCTCCAATGTTTCTGTTATCTTCTTGTTTGAATCCTATTCTGTCTTCAGCTGATTTAATTACGCGTTCAGCCCTCTATGCATTTCATTCATTTCCTTTACCTGGAGAGGAGGAAGTAGGAGATCAACATTTGTGCTACTTCTCAACATGAGACCCAAGAAGTCAATAGGACTTAACCACCCAGATTTTCATTAGCAAAGGGGTTTGATGTAACACTAATAGAATCAAACATGCCAAGACCACTGTAACACTTCAGTTTAATTACTGTTTTTTAAAAAAACCACAGCACTCTTCCCTGTGTGTGCAGGGAGCAGACTTCACTGTTTAGCTACAACACCCCATTGGTTCCTTTACAAAAGGCTCTAAACATGGGTGAAGCACCATGCACTAGCACCATTTGTTACTATTCCATTGGAAAGTAGCTCTTCAATAGAAACTGGAAGCTCCATGCAAATACCTCAAGTAAAGGTCTTCAGACAGAACAAGGCTATCTATTTCCTGTGGATTTTACAGCCCTTGCTATAGATATGTAAAATTAGTACTTGCTGTCAGCACTGCCCCCCACCCCTGGGAAATGCAGATCACCAGTTGCCTTTGAAACTAGTGCAGAATGAACATGGTGAAGTAGAGAGGTGAAAACTAGTTACAGAATTTGAATACTTTCAGTCTCTTTGAACACATCTGAAGCACCCAAAGCAAGCTTTTAACCTACAGCAAATTTAGGAGTTTCTGGATTCTGGCCAATCTCCTCCCTGCACATATGCCATAAACAGAAATTAATTACCTCTGCTTTCACGTACTTCCCTCTCCTCCTCCTTGTGAAGACCTGTAAAAGGACAGAATAATTGTGAAGTTTTCTTTAAGTCTTGACTTACATGTAACTTTATCTGGTTGTGACTTTAAAACTCTAAACTTGAACCTGTCCCTTCCCCATCCTTCCAAAGCGAGGTACACGAGAGGCTGTCTGTCCATCTCAACTACTTTAAACCAGGAGGCAAGACAGGTACTTTCTTCACCTCAATGAGTTTTCCCTATACTTTTCTTTTCTGGTCATAACCTGAAACAGCGATGGTATGTCCATCACCTCTTTCCCACCTCTCAAGTCTCAAAAAAGAAGCTAGTTTACCAAGGAAGACTGTTTCCTATCAGAGTCCAGTTCCCCTGGTACGTTGTTACTCCCCAGATTACAGTGACACATTCTGTTAGGCAGCATTTTTAGAACTTACCAGAACAACAATTCCAGCAACTATTGCTACTATTACTACTACAATGACAGCAATGAGGCCAGGAGTCAGAGACTTCATGGAAAACTCCGGTGCTACTTCATCAACGTAGTAGACCGCTATCTTCTCAAAATGCAGCACCTCATTATCAATGCTGACATTTAGTGCGTTATTAAGAAAGATGGAGTCACCTTTTAGCTAAAAACAGATAAAAAAATAAAAGATGAATGCCAATTACAATGTGAACTAGCAAGTATCTGGGCATTGCAGTAATTCACCTTGCTTTAGCCAGTACACAGTAAGACTACTGAATGCAATGCAATAGACACAACTAGTCTTTGGCAGACTTTACCCATGACACTTACATCTTTTTCAAAGTAGTAGGCCACATCAGCTATATCCATGTCTCCAGAAGATTTGTCTGAGGCATTTTGCTTCAAATCAATAGTAATGAAAGGTTTTTCATACTGCAAAAAATATAGTATGGTATTAAGAAGGGGCTAGTTTAAATCCATCTATGAAATACACAGCAAAATATTATGATCCAATCACATCCTGAATCAAGTTTATGGTACTTGTTCTCAAGCCAACTGTTTATGGTATGATTCAAACCCCACTTTTTTAGTGAAGCCAAGTAAGAATTCATCTACAAACTGAGGAGAGCAAGATGTAATTTGTCAGTATTTCAGTTCAGTTACGGCCATTTGCTAGCTGCTCAGTAAGTGTCACTATTTTGAGAGCTTCTAATAAGACTCATGCTGTACTGTATTAGTCAGACAAGAGTTTTCTAAGTTATTCACAACAAAATAAAATTCTGGTACTTTACTAAAAATTGTGTGCCTCTTACCAGAACACTTATATAGCGTCCATTCAGCATATAACGATTGGTAATTGTTTCCTTGAAGAACCTGTAAGGGTATTAAAGCCACAGCTGTTAAAACCAGTACTGTTTTACATACCTTTTTTCAGAAGCAGGGAAGACTAGTATAATAGTTCTTTTTCCCTGCAGTGTCTCTGTGATGTGTTGACCCCAGCTGGCAGCAAAACCCTCATCTAGTCTCTCACTCACTTCCCCCTAGCAGGACTGGGAGGAGAATCAGGAGGGCAAAAGCAAGAAAAAAACCCTCATGGGTCAAGATAAAGACAGTCTAGTAAGTGAAAGGGTTGGGTGGGGTAAATAAAAAACCCCAAGTGATGCAAAAGCAATCACTCACCACTAGCAGATCGACCCCCAGCCAGTCTCCCAGCAATAGCTACGTGGGAAAAACTTCCCCCAGATTTATTACTGAGCACGACATTATAACAATATGGGATATCTCTTTGCTCAGTTTGGGTCAGCCATCTCTGCTGTGTCCCTTCCCAACCTCCTGCCCACCCCCAACCTACTCAGTGGAGCAGCAGACAGTCTGAAAAGGCCTCAACACTATGCAAGCACTGTTCAGCAACAGCTAAAATACTGGTGTCTTCTCAACACTGTTTTGGTCACCAGTCTAAAACACAGCACCATACCGACTGCTACCAAGAAAATTAACTCCACCCCCACCAAACCCAGTATACTCTGATTACTAAATTATGCTAGAGCGCTGTTAATTCCTAAGAGTGAAAATGCACTTACGGAAAAACAAACACGTACATTATTGCAGTGTTAGAGAGAAGAGTTTGAACAGTTTTGAGTTCAGAAAAGCAGCTAGAGAGTAGAAGCTTCTGTTTTTGGGGGGGGGAGGGGGCAGGGAAGCAGGAATAATAATAGCTACAAGCACATTTTTCTTGCTATATGACCTCTGACAGAGAGAACTAGAATTTTATTTTAGCCAAAAAATAGCTAAACTTATTTTTCTCCTGCTGCTTCTATGTGTCCCTCCACCATTTTTGTCAGTTTACTTTTTGGGCAGTTTCACCTCATTACCTTGCATTTCCTTTAGTATACCGACTTGCTAAAAAGTAGCTATCAATTTTAAATGGCAGTGAATCTCATTAGCAGTTAATTTATTCTAATAAAAATTAAAGGAATTCGATGAACAATCTGTAGGTCACCTCTAAGATGTCTTACAAATGAGTTCACAGGTTTGACAATCAGAACATTTTGGTTTGGAAGGGACCCCTAGAGGTCATCTAGTCCAACCCCTCTGCAGTGAGCAGGAACTAGATCAGGTTGCTCAGAGCCCCGTTCAACCTGGTCTTGAATGTTTCCACGGATGGCGCCTCCACTACCTCTCTGGGCAACCCATTCCACTTTTAAAGCCATCCGTACTTTTAAACAAATGTTTAGAAATACACTAGATATGGAGTAGTGCATGCAGACATTGCCATGACATCCTACTATCATCACTTACTTCTCTAAAGATGCAGCGTTCAGAGGAGTGTTCCTCTCAGCATGTCTTATTTCAATGATGATCCACCTGAAGTAATAAGTAAATACAATGAATATTCTTAAAGTACACGCATATAACAACGCATACTAAAAGTCTAACTCCAGGGAAAAAAAACATAGTGAGAAAAAAAGCAAGCAAGCCCCCTCCAAAACCCTTCAAAATCTCGTTGTTTCTGAAGAAAAAAAAAAAAAAAAAAACAGTAATTAAGTGTTTATTGCTCCATCTTCGTTCATTGCCAGCACATCATTCATATGGATACATCCTCTACAATGAAGAATCTAATACAGGAGAGTGTTTTCATGTCACAGCACACCCTGTTGAAAGACTTACATCGTTCTGACTAATTGATTGCACTTCAAGTCTGTATCATGTTTGTCAGTTCTTCTAACACCAGCTGTATTCACACACCAACAGGTGGTTCCATTGCACTGCTTTGCCTTGAAAACACCAGTATTTTCACACTCAGGATCGTAAAGGCCATCAGTATCTTCAAATGCATCTTTTGGTTTCTCACGACGACCCGATTTTGAGCCTGTCATTTCTGCTTTCATCAACAGGCATTTCGAAGTCACTAAAAATAACAAGAAAGCCACATAATGCAGTGCATTCAAAACAGAGCTCTTGGGCTGTAAAAAGACAACATTAAATCAGAAGAACCTCGATCTGAGGCCATTACATTTTTTTTGGGTGCCTGACACATAGGGGGTGCAGACAGTCAAAGGAACAGCAAGATGTCAGCTTCTGAAGCCAAACACGTAAGAAGTCCAGCCACCTTCGGTTTCGATTAGCCAGAGGATCATTTTACAGCTTAGCTGAACTCGAACCAAGAGTAAGGTCCTGAGATAAGGCTCTTTCACCTCTACATTTGCAGGAAAAGTCATGATACGTGCTCAGAAGGAAGCTAAAAATTAATCTTTGAGAAACCCTCGCCCTAAGAGACCGAATATTAAGAAGGATGAGGGAGCCTGCATCAGTATAAGCGTACGCACATCCACACAAGTGACACGGGAGGATTCCTAAAGGCTTATCTTCCATTGCCCGTTGATGTGGAAGCCCAAGAAGCTTTCCCCGTCCTTGCTACCATTATTTGCCGGGAACTCAATGGCCGTTTTCACGTATTCCCTTGGCTTTAGTTGGCACTTCTCCTTGCCGCCCCGTACCAGGGAACACGCCCAGGCCAAGCCGCAGCCCCACGCGTGCTTTACTCACGAGTGTCGCAGTTCACAGCCACGCCGGAGCCGATCGAGTCGCACTGGCAGACGCCGTTGGCCGCCCTGCAGTTGGTGACACGCTTGTTCTTCTCGCAGAGGCACGCTGGAAGGGAAGGGCGGCTGTGAGCGCCGACGCCCCCGGGCAGGGAGCCGGGCACCCCGCGGCGCC